CAAGAAGGCTACCCTATCCTTGGCTGACCTTTTTTTTTGCTGGGACTCGTAATCTTTTGACCGTGTCAAGATCTCAAATTTTACATTTCAAATTAATGATTATTAAATCTACAAATTCCATTTGCTTTTTCGATGAAATCTATTGATAGAACTATTTACATTAGTAAAAGATTACGGTACCAACTTCAGTATTATACTAAAATTTATAATTTTTTAAAATATAAATTACAATTATGAAAGAAATGATCAACCTTAAAATATTAGGATCGATCAAGGAAGTTTACAATCTTTAAAGATAAATTTATAATTTTTAAAAGTCAAATTAAACATTTTAGAGGTAAAAGTACAACTGATTAGAAGTATTTCAGATTAACCACAATATTAAATTATCATTCATGAATTATCTCAAACAATTGTAACTTCAGTTTTATTTTATTTTTTTTGGAATCTTAGAATTACCCATTACATTATTATAGATGTAAAATTTTAAAAATATTTAGAGAAGTATAGCAGTGTTTTGGTATGATATATTCCACTAGATAATACATACGAGGTTGCAAAGAGTTGGACACACGAATCCTCTTTAGAGTGTGGCTTCTCCCATAAGAGATGACCGGAAAAGTGACATTCAATATCCATTAAATAGGTAGCCCCTATGACGCTGCTGTTGATAGTTGTGGAAAGGCATGGTGGTCTTGTAAACTTTGATTCTAAGTCATGAATTTTGGAGAGATTTTTAGGTTGGTTTCTCTAAATCCTTCTTTGCAAAGATAAAATTCAACATTTAATCCGATCTATGTTCATGTTTAGTTTATAACACATATATATGTCTTTAAAATTAGTTCAAGCTACGAAAGTCAATCTCAGAGTTTAATAAAATAATCGATGCAAATCTAATCACAAAAAAAAACTAGGTTTTTGAATTTTATCCCAATATATTTTTTTCACTCATTTCTATCACGTACCCTTCCCCCTTATTGCTAGTCTTAATATAATAGAGATCACAAAAATGATATTTTTTTATTACAACTAGCAAAGAATGTCATTCATTGTGCAACCTAAATTTGGCAACTAAAAAGAAGCCAAAGAAGAAAATATTTATAATATAAAATAAAACAAACTTTAATAAGTTTATTCGACGGTTTCAAATAAACTTATCCAATGGTTATCAATATCATTTTCAAAACTATTCACATTGAATTTCTCTCCTCCCAAATTTATCACTTTTCACTTACATTGTATCGTAACTTTAGATACGAGTTATCCCTAGTATAAAATAAGGTCTCAATAATTGACCCCCAAATAGAAAGGGTGTTAGACCGGTGACGTAATGGATGTTGTGTTGTAATGTTTTTTATATTTGATTCATATTTATGTTAATATAATTTTTGATATAATTTATTTAATTTTATGATGGTTCATACAATAATAAATTAAAAAAATGTGATTTGTGTTTGTTGAAGTATTTCATATATAACTTGAAATGAAAAATTATTTATGATAATATTTATATATTTATTGTTTGATTTACTATTGTTTAGTGTTGGCAGTCATTATTGATTGGCCTATTCTTTTTCAATCTAAAGTATAACAATATATGTACATATATAAATTATTATTTATATAATCAAAAAGTATCAAACATACTTTTATTTTCAAGTAAAATTCAGAAAAAATACTATAAATTTTTTTTTGGGAAAGAACTTAAGAAAAGGTTAATGACCTTTAAATTAATATTTTGGGCTAGAAATGAAAGAAAAAATTTATCGAAGTTCAAAAAAATCCAAAATATTAAGAAAAAATTAGAAAATTTTGTTTAGCCATTTCATCTTAATGTTTGAGTGTCAAATGAACAAACAAAAAAATCATATCAAATGATTGAAAACACGAGTCAGGTTTCTCCCGTGCACGTATTTCAACTTTTGCAATTGAATTAGCTCAAAAGAAATGTGATTGCTTTACGAGCTATTTGGCCTCTTCTTTTATTTTTATTTTTATTTTGAGAGAGGGGGGGGGGGGGGGGGGGGGG